CTATAAATTTTGTGCTGAAAAACATACATTAAAACCGTCGCTGAACTATTTTTTGCTTTGTGGTATCAAGTGCCCAACTGCAGTGTTGCAGTCAAGCCTTGATGATTTCATGCCTCTCAATGCTCAGTCTTTTTCCAGCTCAGAAACTATTTTGTCTCACGTGCCAATCTCTAAAATTAAGCTTATTCTTCAACCCAAATTTGCTTCCAAGTCATAAAACTACACATAGCTCATTATCCTATGTGCAATCCTGAATAGGAAGAGAACTTGGAAAGGTTTTCCTTTGTGAATGAGCCAATGGGAGATTTTGTCACGTGAAACTATGGGTCTGCAAGAATTATACAATAAATTAGGACAGTATTTTAACTTCTGCAATTAGGGGAACACCAGTAACTAGCGGACAATTCAACCCTTTCTAAGAAAAGTAATAATTTAGATGTTGCTTCCTTGTTTGGTAAAACTTTTTGCAAGCTAACAGTACAAGTGTTATAATCCTTCGTGGAAGTATGAACGGTTGATTTGTTCGTGCAACTATTTTATTTTTTTATCATTGCTAATCTGTGAGCCACCTTGTGCTTCCATTTCCCTGTTAACTTTATGTTGATTCTCCTCAGGGACAAATAAAGAATCATTCTATACTAAACTAAATTATGTTTCATAACAAACATGCATGTGGTGCATACAAAAACTACTTTTACAGAGTGAAAAAAAAACTGGTCCATGCAAATGGATTCCTGTACAATTTCTGTCTTTCTGCTAATTTTACTGAATACGTTTTCTCAAGTGACCAACCACAACAGCAAGGTAGGTTGCCATGGGATCCTTTTCTTCTGCTCCAATTGTCAGCTTCAGTCTGGCTCCACCATGTACCTTTGTTATTTGCCACATTAATCTCCAATGCCTTTACAACTAAATGGTGGAGTAATGGAGGGGGTACGCTGGTTTGTTTTGTTGCTTCACTAATTAGTAGCCAACTGGGCCAACAGGGGATTAACGTCATCCTGGTTCAATTTGTACCACAGCAGAAAGGAGCCTTGCTTGGTTTGGGACTTTGGTACAGAACGCAGTCATTGGCTGAACACATCTGTGAAGCAAATATTTACAAAAGCCTTAGTCCATCTTGTTGTGGAGGTTTACCGTTTCACTGTTGTAGCTTTTCTAACCTTCTTACATTGCTCCCAAACATGCGTCATATCATTAGTGCATACCCATCAAGTCTCTTGTATTGGCCAGGAAACTAACATACTTTAACCCCCTTTCCTGACCTCCTACTGCATTACTATTTTCATGTAAATATCCAATATCATAATAATAATGATGATAAACATTCCTGTCCCTCTCCAAACTGAAATCTTTCACTAGCCTCATGAGAACTGCCACCCGGGTTGCAGCAGGAGCCGACAGCAGGAACAAACAAGGTTTTCCACAAAAAGTGTTGGTCTAAAAAACACTGACCGGGTGGGAATGTGTGCCCAGGACCACAATCAACCAGCAAGAGTGTGTCATCGAGTCGTTTTAGATGTTTTTCAGTTTTTTAAGACAAATTATATTAGCACCAATAAATTCACACAGCTTCATGTCCAAGATCACAATAAAGGTTAAATCACACGCAAGTTTTGCATGAACGACTTTGTTTCACTCAAGGAAATATAGATATGGTTGAATATGTAAAATAAATAAATGTTTTTTGCTGTTCCCTTTTGCGTTTTCATTTAGGCTCCGCTATGGAGCTTGTGTAATTAAGAATATCCACGACATTTCAGCGTCAACGCGGGTAGGCCTTTCAGAGTATGAGCACCTAATTGTAGTTTGTAAGTGATCGACATGTAGTTATGTTAGATTTCTTCTAAACCCGTCTTAAAATGTAAAGGATACTGGACCTCGACCGGGCTGGTGGAACGGCTGGAAAACTCCCCTTATTTTTAAATCCAAAACTTGTTTGTGGCATCAATTGCCAATCATTTTTTCCTCTCTGTGTGCCTCGTAGGTAAAGTACCTCTGAAGATCTTTTTTGCTTGCCCCATTGCTTGCGTATGCATTTTTCTGTCGATGTTATCATGTTAGCATAGTTTATAGCTTCCAGCTGAAGGTCATTATTTTGGTCAGCGGCTGCGGGGACAGGAGGAGGAGTGTCTGCTACTGGAAGAAGAAGCGATACATTTTGGAAAATGAGAATGGGTCAGTTTGTATCAGCTTCAACACAAAACAGTGCCCTTGAATAATTAACTGTTTCAAGTATCCATTGTATTAAAATGTTGAGTCATTTCACAACCGCAGCATGTTGTAGATAATTTACAGTAAAATAATGTATGTTGTGATATAATGACATTCAGCTATGAGCATTAAAGACATCAAAGTGAGCCCTCTGTGTAATAATAAGTTACCTAATTAGATTACAAGCTCACATTTTAAGGGTTTTGCCATTTTATTTTTAGAGAAGCAACATTGTTTCTTCCATAAAGTCTGTTTTCACAAATGACCCGTCAACGAATTCTGATTGCGCACACACAATGTCATAACAGAGACAAAAACAAAACAAAAAAAACAAAAAAAAACACAAACTTGTACCAAAAAAAATTATGTACACAAGTTAGGCCTCACATTGAGACCTCCAACATGTGAAGCAAATAGAAACTGTCATTTCATCATGACATATTTTGCATCAAGTAAACATTTAGTCCTCAAAGTTGATGTAAGAAGCAGGTGAAACAGGAATTGTTGGGACCACATATACTGCATTTCACAAGGACTGCTCAGTCAGCAGTGTTCAGTGTCCAACAACGAGTTTCATCTCCCTCCCTCAGGACACAAAAGCACATTAGTGAAAAGCAATAGGATACAATAAAAAACTAATTTATTTTCTATACAACTGGGTTTTTAAATCAAGGATATGTGATTGTCATTTTCCTGATTTCACTGAAAAGCCACATTGTTTAATCAACTTTGACACTTTGGATGAAACCTTGTTCTAAACAAAGTTTTCCAGTAAGGGTCAATAAACAGAAAAGTCCAAGAGGAAATTTTATTTACTGGCAAACATTGTCTTTTTTTTCCACTGAATATTGTCTGCCACAGAGGTTCAACAGATTCCCCACATCTCGATTCAATCACATCTGTAGAGGTTGGCTAATAAACACTCAGGGCTGAAGAGACCCAACATGATGCTGCTGAATACTCCAGGTCACTTTCAGGGCTCTAATGAGGTCCAACCCTCTACAGGTCAGGCCTTTCCAGCAGCCAAAGTGGGACAAAACACACTAATAAACAGGTAGTCATAACAATATGTTACTTTATCAAAAAAGAAACACACACACACACACACACAATATATATATATATTTTGCGATCAGCATCAGATACTCGCATGTTTTAATCTTTAGTCTTGCAGCTCAAGCATTTTAGAGACGGATTCACGGCAGAGTTACCGCAGCACCAACTCCACAAAATGAGGCCAGACTCGAACAAAGGAGCTGTCTGTTTGAGCACCACGGACAGTTCCTGTCATCTTCCTTCTGACTAGGCGCTGCCGGCGGGAGCGACGAGCTGCCAGTTATCTGCCGCACTTTGCAACATCAGACACAAGCGACTTTGCGAATTCATTAACGACGGGCTCTGTGCTCCAAGCAAAGCAAAGAAAAGAAGAAAAAAAAAACAAAAAAACCGCACTAATCATGTTTTAGAGAGAGAAGACATTTTTCACTCATGATTTTTGTTTTTAAAGCTGATAACAAAGCTAGTTGAAGATGTGGCTCACCTCTAAGTGGCCCCTGAAAGCGCAATTAGATGTAGGCCTATGACAAGCTTATAAGGAAGGGAGGGGGGGTGTCTGTCAGGTACGATTAACCGGGTTTATGCCCGAGCTGGGTGTCTGCTAACATTCACAGTTTTGGTTGAGTTTGACTTTTTTAAACAATGTGAACGGCATTGGCAAACCAATGTAAGCGAGAGGCAGCGAGAGACTTGACTCGTGCGCGTTGGCTCGGTCAAAGCACGTGCTCGCTGACGGACAGACCACCCGCAATTTCCCTGAACCGGGCTTGAACAAACGCAGCCTTAGAAACAACGAGAAATGCGGGACATCAGCAGAAAACACACAATCCCCGTCCATCGCTCCGATCCCCTGCGTCATGCGTCGGTATTCCTACGGTTCCACCCAACGGACCGCCTGGCTGTCATCCTCGGGGCACTGGTACAGTAGATCGGGATAAGCCTGATCGGTTGCTCCGACATAATCACATTTCTGTTGTCCCTTTCATTCCCTACAGGACAGAAATCCGTACGACTTTTTTTTTTTTTTTTTTTTTGTGGTTATTTGTAACAAGTGACGCAAAGCCTCATCCAGTCCTTTCAAACTGCATCACAAACACACACACACACACTCACAGAGACACACACATAAGTTTTAATGCGTGTGTGTTTTTAAAGAGTCTGCTTTGTTGCTGTACCTGCAGCTCATATAAAAGAATGGATTGTGTGTGTGTGTGTGTGTGCATAATAAGGCTTGCCTTCGGGAAGAGCTTCCGTTTCGCTTACACCTTTATCTAAATCCTCTCCTGAGTGAGCTCCAGTGAGCCCGGCGGCTCGGTGCATGTACGAGACACCGCACTGCAGAGGGCTCCTCCGGAATCTCCATGATTGAGCTCAGGAAGCTCCAAACAGTCGCTGAAATTTCACTCGAAAAATAATCCAATTCTCGGGACATTTGTAACAGCCTACAGATTATTGGCGCCGATATCATCTGCCAGGTGCTTAAGTTCTCCTCTCCGAAGCGTCAGACTGATTACGTCCCCGCACCTCCATCACCGTTTTGTTTTTATACCAACTTCAATTGTCCGAGAGAACCTCAGAGTGAGACAGGAGAAATGCGTCGTGTGGAATAATCATAGAATCAGTTTTGGGTTTTTTTTTGTTTTTTTAAATTACGTTTGAAAACTTTGCCAAATTGCACCATAATACGTAAGTAAGACCAGAAGAAGAGGAAGAAGCAAAAACTGGCCTACCTTCAGTTCTGTTCCAAAATGGTTCGACGCCGAGTGTCAGTCAGCGGGGACGGCTCTGGACATCACAACTCCCGGTCAGTAGAGAAAAAAACCGTGCGCGTACAGTGGCTGCAAGCTGGAGGTGATCTGCGTTTCTGCGAGGTCACCCATTCAGCCAATCGTCCGACTGTAATTCAAACAAGAATGAAGATTTGTATGTGCTTCCGTCCCCCTTTTCTTTTCTTCTCTTTTTTTTTGAGGAAAAGAAAAGTGCACTGGGCGCTTTCTAGCGCAGATGTCACTTTGCGCTCTTGGAGATAAACGTAAAAACCGATGAAGGGATGGGGGGGCAGATATTTCTAGAACCTAAGAAAGATTATGACAACCTCACCCCCTTTCTTTTTTTTCAAAAGACAACAAAAAAATATCTAATAGCTGACTTTTACGCTATCTCGCCGAATTAGAAATCCACTCTTGTGTGCTTCCTGAACACACTCGTTGGTGCGATCCCGGTGGACGCGAGAGAGGTGGTGGGGAGGGGGGAGGGGGGGAAGAAAAAGAGAAATGTATGGATATAATCGCCAGATCCAGTGTGTGTGTGAGGGGGGGTTCCCTCTACAGCTCCAATGCTCACGATGAGAGTAGTCTCTCCCTGGTCCTAGTGCACCACACACCGTCCTTGCTGGTTCTAACGCACGCCGCCGCTGCACCTGCAATCTGTCATCCCCATCGATTAAGCAGTGAAATGGACGAGGGGAAAAGAAATTCCAGTAGACATCTATAACTCAACTCAGAGCCCCGACGCTGAACAGAGAGCGGATGGACGTGCAGAGCAGCTGGTTCTCACTTGTTGTTGGTAGGATGGAGAAGATTGAAAAGCGAGAGAACGAGGGAAGAGAGAGAGAGAGAGAGAGAGAGAGAGAAAGAGAGAGGGGGGGGGGGATAGGGGGGTGAGAGCAAAACGGAGAAAGAAGGGTAGGGGCGGAGCTTGATATAAAGCAAGATTTAGATTTTTTTTCCATATATTTTTATTTTCAAAATGCATTTCAGAGTGCCATTAAATAGTTTGTGTATTTTGGTACAAAAACTCGTTTTATTCGGTGAATTCTTTTAATTTTTGTGATCGTGACTTGCAGCTAATAAGCACACAAGTCTGCTTCTCAAAATTGTAACTATATTACACAAATAAAAAGGGATTTTAATGATAAAACAAAAGTCCAATGTTGTGGTCATGTCAGTTTTTTGTTGTTGTTTTTTAAAGCAGGATGTTCACAGAGTAATTCGTCCAAGCATAGGGAAGATGAGTTGAAAGGAAAAAGTATAAAAGTATGTAGGTAACAGGATGGAATAAGCCTTGAGAAAATAAACAATTCAAGCTAAAAAAAATAAAAAATAAAAAAGATTTGGGGGAAATTACAAAGGCATGGATTTGAAGCTACAAGTGTCATATTTGTTGTTGGCAAAAACCCAAATCTAGATCAAACATTGGTTGAAAAATTAAAACTTTAATAAAATAATAAACTTACAGAGACGGAAGAAGCATTTAATCACGGAAAGGCATAGACAAGTTTAACCGATGCGCACATATAGTGAGGCAGGGGTGGAAATGGCAAAGCAATCAGGAGAATTAATCAGGGCCAAATGGGGAACAGCGGAGAGGACAATCAGCTGGTAAGGAACAGCTGTGAAGGGGAGCATACAGGCAGGATGAGGGAAAGTGAATGAAAAATACCAGAGAGGATCCAAGACACAAGAAAACACGAATAACAGCAGAGAAAAAAAATCAATGAAGTACAAAAACCCGGAATAAATAAATTAACTCAAAGGTATGGACATATGTGGCAAGACCTAAAGAGTGTAAATAAATAACAGGGAAATTATTCAAGAACAGAACAGAAAAATATCGCTAAGAAACTTAATAAGAAATGAGCTGATCAGGCAAAACATTAATGACAATAGTAAAGAAACTTAAATGATCAAAGTACAAACATCAATAACTAAAAACACAAACACCTCACTGATCATGACAATTCTCTATATCCAAAGTATTGTCAATATGAAATTCAGGTAAAGTGAATGTGATTCAATCAGTCAATATTTATTTGTAAAGTCAATTATTGTGATATTTTCCATCTGAGATTACTTAGTTGTAAACTACTAAAATAGTTAGATTGTTGTAGGATAATCATTTAAAGATGGGCGATGCTATCGATTAGCTGTGCTGATTGAATTCAGTTTTGGATCCCAACAGTCTTTGCGATTTTAGGCACATTTTGATGTGGAAAAGCCCACACATCACTTTGAGTTCATGTTTTTTTTATTCATGAACGCCAGAACGGTGAGTTACACACAGCTGCAATTACACACAAAGTATGTTCAACTGAAACTAAAAGACTGCTGGGTTTCGGACAGACTACACGGGACATCTGGATCTGTGGAGAAAATACCTCCAATCATTAGGCAGTACAGAAGTCAGTTACCATGGAGACTCTGGTTGCAGGTTGGTGGGCAGTAACCAAAGAGTTACTCTGATTTTTTTTTTTTTTTTTGGGGGGGGGGGGGGGTTTCCGTTTTCATTTTACACTTTTTGGGTTGTGGACAGCATTGCTGCCCTCCCAAGTGTTGCTTAATCTCCTAATGTAATAAATGAGGCACAATGAGGCATCAATCATGTCTTAACATGAGAATTATTTAAAAGCTCTAAGTTACAGCCAAAGGTCATGTCTATCATCTGTGGGTAATTAAACATTTTTTCATCTGGGTTAGACAAAGATACCAATACGGATTTTATTTAGGGATGTCAGAGTAAATAGGATGAATTTAAACACAGATAGTAACCCTCAGATTATAATTTCCTTCCTCTTGACAGTACAACTTTGTGCTCTTCTGTGATGGAAGATTAAAAACGAAAAAAAAAAAAAAAAATACACTGAATTTTTTCTGGCAACATCTTACGGAGCTAGTTCAGGTTTTTTTTTTTTTTCTTCTTATCTGTATTGCTTCAACTGCATTGATGCGTTTATTATGTGTCACCATGAGGACACATGCCTTACCTTGTCAAATCTTATCAGAATCTGTGTCCTCTATAAAATAGATGAGGAAGTTGAGCGCTTCCTTGTATAACCACTCTCGCCAAGGGCCCAGGAAACTAGTCACAGACGTTTCTGCCTCCACAGTTTTTCTTTCAGAGCGTGAGTGGGTACCTGACCATCATTCCGCCTGCAGAAAATATACAGGCTGACTGATATGACACAAATCCTCCTCTTCTTTCGTCCTAGGAAAAAAAAATAAAAAATTAACTCACTCACTCACTCACTCACTCACTCACTCACTCACTCACTCACTCACTCACTCCTTTCGTATTAGGTGGATAAATGGTCCACGAATGATGCCATAGAAACTAAGAGATCACATGACTCAATCACATCTCACTCCCACACTTCTTCTTCTCTCTTATTTATTTATTTTATTACCAGCAGCTGCATTGTTCAGTCTCTCTCTCTGTCTCTCTCTCTCTCTGTCTCTTTCTCTCTCTGTCTGTGACAAAATGCTCGCTGCTACATTCGGAAATGTTTCATGATTTCAAACCGGGATAATCTCCACTTTAATAAGCGATATCTTGATTCAGAATCATTTCCCAATTTCTACCACCGTAAGAGGAAAAACTCTGCAGTTAGATGTTATCAGATAAAGAAACAATTATGCGTTAGCTTAAATTAAAAACTGTAGGGCAAAATTAGCTGTAGGCCACACAAGAACAATTGCAGCAGTTGATTTGTGAGTTCGCTCCACTGATTGTGTTTATAAATGGATTCTATCTGAAATGTTGTTTTTCTTTTTTTTTTTAAGGGAACATGAAATGTTTCACTGCACATATTTTTGAGTTCAGACGGTGTGAATCTGCCAGCGATTCTTCAATAAACTAAGTGTACTTGCACTGATGATTTATCAGTCGAAAGTGTGAATCCTTGTGTCGACATCAGAGCCTTACACTTCCATTTACATGCGCATCTCTAATATATTAGGCTATCAAAAACTCATACAGTCACTTGATTAAAGTTTTTTCATTGATATGACTGAATTTTGGGGTTTTATGTTAGCTGTAATAACAGAAGTATTTTAACAGTGCGTTGTGTGTGGTGAAGCTTTGACTTCAGCCTCAGTCAATGTCTCATGTTTCTCTCTCAAACCTTTAAATTGGCTTTTCAAACACACTTTTTCTTTTCTCAGGATTTTCTAATAATTTGCTAGGATGCATCACTCTGTGAACAGCCAGTTTTTTTTTTAGCAATAATCTTAGTTTTTTTTTTCTCCTTGTGGATGGTGCAATGACTGTCTTCTGGACATCTGTCAAATCAGAATTATTCTCTGTTGTTGCTGTAACAATGACATAACATTTTCTTTTCTTTAAAAAAAATGTAATGTTTCAAATTTCCTAATAATCCTGAATTTGAGGATTTTATCAGTTGTCAGATGCAAACACATGAACAAATAAAATAAACTCCTCAAACATAAAAACTGGAATGAACAGTCTCGTCATAACACTTTTGTCATTTTTAGTCCTAACAATGCTCAGCCTCCATCTGCAGGATCTTTCCACCTGTTTAAAGGAAGTTGTTCCTCTCCACTGTTGCCATATGCTTGTCCAGGAGGACGCATGACTGCAGTATCAGTGACTTATTAAATCTGCTGTGCTATTTTAGACAAATTACCTGTTCGACACAAGCTGCCGGTACTGCACCAGTAGGACTGAACTGGGCTATGTGTAATGCAAACACGTCTCATGTTCCATCACATATACATGTGAAGAATAAGTGATAAAGGAAGCCTGTCTTTTCACCTGATTTCCTCCGGTGAGGGTTCACAGAGGGCGAAAGATAAAAGACGGCCTCACCCAAACCCCCAAATAAATCACTCTGGTGGAAAGGGAGGCTGGGGCTGCTGCTGCCTAGCAGCCAAAAAAAAAAAATAAAAAAAATATCACAAAAATCAATTTCTAACTTGATTCTTTCTCTGCGGAGTTCCCATGGAGTTTGTTCTCTTTGTACAAGTGGGGATTTGTTTCTCCAGGTGAAACGGCTTCCTTCACAGTAACGTGCAATTATTTGGTGATGTTTTGTTTAGGACTCAATGTAAAATAACTGGCCTGTGTAGGCTGTGTCCCACCTCCGGTCACCCTATACAAACTTGAATGGTATAAAATGGGTACAAGAAACAGGAACCCGACACCTTTCTTCTTTATTGAAACTCACAGTTAAGTAGCTGATTCTGGTCTGCTGACGAAAATTCAACACTTCCAACCTGAAGGGCAATGGTCTAAAACTAACTGGGTAAGGATACAGACACATTAAAATCCAACCTCACTACCTTTATACACAACCATCTACTTGTTGTGTACAGTAATCTGTTTTGTGAGCTTCTATGGGCAATAGTGCCGTTTTATAACACAGTATTCGTGTTCCTTGAACTTTACTATTGTAAATTTAGAAAGTTAAATACAGGTGCATCTCTGTAAATTGGAATGTTTTGAAATATCTTTCTAGTTGTTAAACAGCTGCATTTAGTCCCACTGGGTGCACCAAACCCTGATTCTTGTGTCATCAGATGAAAACATGCGTTTTTGTTGAGAAAACAAAAAGATCAGTAAGTATTCCAATTGTTAGATAAAAGACCAATCTACTTTTATGATGACCAACTTTGCATACATGGAGCAGATTTCCAATCAGACTTGCTGCTTCCTCAGTTTTGAGCTAATTTTTTTCTCGTGGATTTTAATTTTGCCTCCCAGCAAACACACATTGGAGATGGACAAACGTACACACACACACAAGCAGATGTTTCGCAGAGTGTGCTGACTGATACATGCCCGGTGCCTAATTGCAGGTTTATGAAA